TTGAATTGCAGGGATAAAATATAAGGTTATCTCTATGTACTCCCTGGAAGAGGCAAATAGCAGCTATGCCGGGGGAAAGAGTCAATATCATCCCTTTCCTGTCCATATCAAGAGTGTGTATGTGTGCATGCATGAAGCTAGAGAAACAGACACAGATGGGAAACGGTGCTGAAGCTATTTTCCCATATAGCTCAAAGGTGCATGCTTGTGCCTCCTTCTGCCCTGCATAAAAGACAAAGAGGAGAGAAACTTCTGTAGGATCTTTAAAGGGGATGGTAAACAAACAAAGGCATTAGCACTGGAGGAGAGCTGGAGAGCTACTTTTAATTGCTTGGAGAATGACTGGTGCCTCCTGAGTAATCTTGTGTTCATCCCTGATCAACATAACATTTTGCCCTACGGGGAAGAGAATTTCCCCTTCTTCTCCTTCTTCTCCTGATCTCTGAGTGGGAATACTTCACCTTGCCTCTTGGCAGGCTGGTTGGCTCAGACTGAGTTGGCTGAAACTAAACCCGGCGAAGATGGAGGTCCTGGGCCTAAATTGGGTCAACTCGGGGTTGGGGCTCCTTTTCCCAACCTTTGATGGGGCGCCTCTGGTGCCAGCGTCAGGGGTTAGGAGTTTGGGAGTGCTCCTGGACCCCTCTTTAACGATGGAGGCCCAGGTGGCAGCCACTGCCTAGTCAGCCTTTTACCATCTTCAGCTGGCTCGGCAGTTGGTCCCCTTCCTTAACCGCGATGACCTGGCCACAGTGATCCATGCAACAGTTACCTCAAGGTTACACTACCGTAACACTCTCTACATGGGGCTGCCTTTGTCGCAAATCCGGAAGCTGCAGCTAGTGCAGAATGCTGCAGCCAGGCTGTTGATGGGTCTCTCTAGGCGGGAGCACATCCGGCCTGTGCTGAAAGCGCTACACTGGCTGCCAATAGCGTACTGGATTCACTTCAAAGTGCTGGTTCTTACCTTTAAAGCCCTGTATGGCCAGGGTCTGACATACCTAAGGGACCGCCTTTCCCCATATGTTCCCCCAAGGGCACTACAGTCGGGGATGCAACATCTCCTGGTGTCTCCAGGCCACAAAGATGCCAGATTTCCAGCAACCAGGGCCAGGGCCTTTTTGGTGGCGACTCCTACCTGGTGGAATGAGCTCCCGGAGGAGATCCGGGCCCTGCGGGACCTTGCACAGTTCCACAGGGCCTGTAAGACAGAGCTCTTCCTCCAGGCTTTCTAGTAGGAGCCGCCACTGCTGCACCACCAACAACAACTGGGCTGGGCATCATTGGGGGGTGAAATGGCCCTGTGACAAATGAACGATAGTGCTGCCTGGAACTGATATCATCGATCTGGGACCATCACCACCAGGATGCCATCCTCTTACTGAAGACCTGTGTGAGACACCAAGAGCACCTTGTATTGTGATAAATGATTATAAATGATTGTTTTGTCTTGTTTTTACTGTTTTAATTATTGGCATACGTGCCCAGTCTGTGAACCACCCTGAGCCCACTTGCGGGGAGGGCGGGCTATAAATCTAATCATAATAAATAAAATAAATAAACCACTTTCTTACCTGGTAGTTACAGCCACAATATAATATATACCACTGCTCTCTGGATGTATGTGTTGTAGAGGGCACTCTAACATAGATAGACATGAAACTGGAACAGCATGAACGTCTATGCCTTGGTATTGCAGGGATTGGATAGGCTAAAAAATAACTTACTTGCTCACCTACTAATGTTGTCAAAGGCTGGGGAAGGGGGAGGGGACCAATGTTCCCTCTAAGCTGTGGAGTCTTGTGAGCAAAAATTCTACTTTGTGAGCTACTGGCATTAAAGTTGTGAGCAAGCGATTTGGCTACTGCATAAATTAGTTTGCCCTGGAGCCATCCTTCCTGAGCTAAGACAAAAATTTGTGAGCTGGAGGCTAAAAAACTGTGAGCTAGCTCACACTAACTCAGCTTAGAGGGAACACTGGAGGGGACACATTGAGGCTGCGATCACACGCGTCTTTAGATCCAACATAGCTGCGAATGCCTGATGGATCTCAAGGGAACAATCAGACAGCAACATCTGGGAAACGTTCCGCAGTCATCAGCAACCCGTGCTGCTCCACCACAGAAGTGGAGTTAAAAGACACTGGGGAAAGTCTGGCTCTAAATAGGTTCTGACAGGCCACAGATGGACTTTCCCATGTCTGATCGCGCAAGCATGCACTCATGCTGTCGGGCTAGTCTGATCAGTCCATCCCAACTTGGTGCTATTCCCCCCCCCCTTTGCAGTATGCACATAATCACATACGCCATGGGGAACTCTCAGTACAGAGGTGTGATTCCTCGTTTATACACATGGGAAACAAATGGCAAAAAAACACAACTCACCTGCGGTGCATCTGATCACACAGTAACGGGTTGAGCCGCAGCACAAAGGGGATGTGTGATCTCGCAACTGCGGGTCAAATTCCTCTGGAGGGAATAGTCTCGCTTCCCCTCCGCTCCAACTGGCTTGTGTGACCACAACCTCAGTGCTAAAAATGGGTTTTATTCCTGGTGAGGCCTAAAAACGATGGGGGTAGGTTTAAAATAATATTGTTACACAGACAATTAACAATTGTTGCAACTGTCTTAGATACAGAATTACTAAGCAAGCAACATGATGGGCTTGATGCTGGAAAATTACTTACAAATGCTGCAGTTTATGAACCAGTTGTTGGTCAAAGCTAGGAGTCTACCAAGCGCATCATACTTGCAAAAAGACCTTAGCAGAATACAGCCTTCGACTCTTCTTACCTCTCACTCAGATTCCTCCATCTTCTACATCAAGTAAAATATCCTTACAGATATTAAACTAACAAATGGAACAATTGGGAAGCTTCTTTTAATTTGTGCAAACCATTCTCCATTATTATTATTTTTACATCCTCAAAACTCAAAAGTGAAGGTTTGGAATTTGTAGCTATGCATTTTTCAGAGACTTGAAGGTCAAGCTGTGTCCATGCTCAGGCACATGTATTTTCTCCACATTTTAAAAATGATGTTCATACTCCTTGTTGAACTACTTTTGTGACTGAAACCTGATCAGTGGGAAACTCAAGGAGCAGTCAGAAAGAGATTTTCACATTTGGGTACCCCCCCATTTTTCTCCTTTTATGTGTGTAGACAATGAGTACTATATTTTTTTCTCTTTAAAGTCCCATTGATGTGAAATTCTGAAACCTCATAATTAAGAGATCCCAGAAAAAGTGCATGTGTGTATGCTCTTCCACTGAGCCACAGCCCCTCTTGCAACTATGGATATGTATATCTGTGAAATAACATATTTCTTCTTTTTCTGTAGTCTCCACAGTATGGGGAAAACAGGGGTGGAGCATCATTTTTTTAACCCTTGGGTTCTGCCCCTTGAAGTTCCAAAAAATTTATGGAATAATGAATTGTAATTGAAATGGAGCTTGAGAATCTGCTCATCCCTGTTACTTATTCCTTTGACTTCAGGCTCTTTTCCCACTTAAAATCATGTCCTTTGAGCTATTTTTCACTCCATGGCAATAAAAGATACCTACATCCTTCCTTCTCCAAGTGGAAATTTAACTAACGTGTGTGTGACTTTGAGCAACATGAATGAGTAGGCCAGCCCTTCTCTGACACAGATCAGTACTCTGCATAAGATTGTAGACTGCAGCTGCCTTTAATTAAAATTAAAATGTAATAGATTTTTTTAAAAAATGTGTAAAAAGTATAGGTGACTGAGCATCATAATACAATGTGGGCCTGACTCTGATTAGTAAAATGAATAGGGGCTACAGTATTAGTTTTCCCTAATCATGTTGATTTCAGTATTTTAGTAAAATTAGAGGCTTGAAAATGGAATATAAAGTATTCTATTATCTTTAAAAAAATAGTTCAGGAGCACCTCAAGTTACTTATTTCAGAATTGTGCTGAGCTTCACCAGTATCTTTCTGTGTGGTCCAGCAACTAGGGTTCAGTTGAATGCTGCCCAGCATCAAGGCTCCCCTGGCCACACACTTGATAAGTGGCTGGTTTAGGCAAACTCCCATCATCATTAATAGATGTCTCAAGGTGCTTGCCAAGTTTTCCTGTTTTCAACTTCCAATTTCTTATTTCCAAATGGGCAAAAATTAAGATATACTTAGATGACTACTTCCATCTCTAGTACTGGACATATTTCTAAATCATGTTTTAACAGAATGAAGGTATTTATATATATATATTTCAAATTAATAAATATACTCTGTCTGAAGTATACTTTTAAGTGTTATAGTTGTAATAAATAGCTTGTTTTGTATTGACTGAAGGCCATTATGAATAGATACATTATATATTCTTACAGTAATAAATTAAATTAAAGTTTCATAAAAGGATGAGTCAGTTTTCAAGAACATTTGTTTTTCTTTTAAATGGAAAAAAAACCCCTTTTATTCTATAGCTTCAGAATTTGCAGACTTTATTTTTACATCTCTTATGCAGACAACATAGGAATGTTCCTGTAAATTAAAGGTAAACACTAGGTCCTGAAATGAATTTGCAGGCATTTAAAAACAAAAACAAAAAAAACTCCCAAAGGCTTAAAACCTACGATTTTCCAGCCTCATTTCTTTACACAATAATCTGTTAGAAAAAGCCTTCACGCTGCCTCCTTGGCTTCTGTGGCAAATCCTTTTTCTCTGATCCCTGGATATCTTTTGAGGAGAAAGGATGGCAGCAGGGTGGGATGTGCTCTCTGGGGAGATTGGCCCCTAGCAAAGAATCGTCTTTCCTGTCATAATTTTATTGGCTTTGGGTAATGAAAAATCATTCCCCTCCACCTTAAACAAGAGAAAGTCCTGTGAAGAGATCACGTTTGTATTGTTTTAGATCTTAAAATATAAAATCAATATAAAATCTTTACAAATTCCCCTTGACTGCTGGCTCTTTTGATTTGACATCTCTTGAGGACACATTTATATATCCTGCTTTATTGCGCTATACTTTTTTTTTTAAAGGCCTGCACTGGAGGTGGATGTACGATAAGTGAAACTGCCTCAGCAATAACAACTGAGAGTACACCAGAAGGTGTTTCTGCTCCTGAAGTCCAGTCCTATTCCTCTGACTCCTTTAACATCTCATGGACTAAGCCAGAGTACCCAAATGGTAAGTGAACTCTTTTAGCCTCAAGTTAAAAAGATGATTAGTAAAGGTAAATTAATATTCTAAATGGCAGCTTATATGTGGTGCTTAATTTTTAATGATCATTTTAGCGCATAAAATACCTGAGATAGTATCATTGTCTGTAGCTGGGAGATTGAAGTTTCAGCCTGGCTTTGCTGTTTTGGTAGCTCAAAAGTGCTCCCTTTTGATGGATCTCATGTACTGCATTCGTTTGCTTAATACTTTCTGGAACAACAGAACTGGAGGATTGTCTCTGACACTACAACAGTGCATTTCCTAATAAAGCCACGCTTTTCTTAAAATGTTGGTACTGTTTTTGTCTTGTAGAGATACTCATTAATTTTGCCTTGAATTTCTACTTTTAAAAGTTTCTTGATAGGTGGGTGATTATTATTTGGAATTATCAATCTGCCTGTTAAGTGCCCACCTTATTTTAGTAGCCGTACTCCTCTGCGACTTGTCATTTCAGGATAGCATCAGAGAGGCAGTGTGGCATAGTGGATGGAGTGCTGGACAGATTGGGGAGGCCTGGGATCATATCCTTGTTCATGAAACTAACTAGGTATTCTTGGGTCAGTCACAGTCTCTCACCCTTACCTGCCTCCCAAGGTTGTTGTGAGTGAGGGATGGTGGGAGGGATGGTCACCGTAATTCTGGGTTCCTTGAAGGAAGACTAGAATAAAAATGTCATAATGTCACAGTGCCTGAAGGGTGCAGAAAGGTGTACCTGCTGAAATCCTTTCTTGTGTTTATTTGAAATATTTATACCCACCTTTCACCCTAAAAGAAAACTTCAAAAGTGGCTTCAGGAACTACAATGACCACTTCTTTTCTTTTTTTTTAACCGACTCAGCACCTATGCCCTTTGTCAGCAGCCAGTTATGCAACATTTTTTTAAAAAAAGTGAAGTGTTTTCTGGCACAGAGATAAGTGGCGGGGGGCACATGACTTACAAAATTTCCCAATGCTGGGCAGAAGCACAGAGTGAGCACAGAGTTTTAAAAGTTGCCAGCCCATATTTGCCATGTATTACATGTAGTTTCTCCTACTTTTAAAAGTTTTTTTTTTACTATAAAGGTGTAGCATCTGAATTTCACAGCATCCACCTGTATCCTTAGAAAATGGAACTCAAAGCAATCAGTCAAGTGGAGTGCAAATTATTTTTACTATGTCTTTGATAGTCTGACAGCTAAAAATAACAGATATTCTAATCTGTGAAGTTAATTTAAGTTTGCTACTTGTCTGCTTGCTGCTTTCAAATGACATTGCACTGTTGATTATTTCAGAATAATTTGTAAGTAATTAGGAATTTTAACAAGACATATTTATGATCAGACTTGCATCTCCTGTATATATGACTATAACAGTCGGTATTGTTATGTGTACATTTTTATGTGGAGACAATTCTTTAAAGAAAACTATATCTGCCCCCATATTTTGTAACTCCATAGCCATTACATTTCAAAGAGGATTTACCCTCCCACCACATGTGGTATTATGAATTCCTTTTTGTCTGGGATGTGATACTATTAATAGTATAAATAGCAAAAGGAAGAGGAACAATTATAATGAAATATACAGTGTAGTCAATATAGGTTTACATTTAGATTGTAGGAGCTGAATATACAAAATTGATTTGACTACCGTATTACTCATTTTTGAAAGACGAACTATAAAACTCAGAAGTTCCATCAATCTTATTTTGATGCTGGAAATCCAAAACATTCAGGTTTATGGGATGTCAGATCTCACATTTACAAGTATTTTGCTGAAATGGATGCCTTTATGCTAAATAGCATTGATAATTAGAAGGGGAAGTACAGAAAAATTACAGAACAGGGGTGGCCAAACTTGCTTAACGTAAGAGCCACACAGAACAAACGTCAGATGTTTGAGAGCCACAAGACATGAACAAATATTACATAAAGTTTTACTTCTTATTAACATCAAATGAGACTGCCAAAAAATAAAAAAGGGTAAAAACAGATATTGATAACGATATTTATTTTTCCAATGATATTTATTTGTTTGCTAATGATTTTTTTTGTCTGAGAGGTGGAAAGAAAGAATGAAAGAGGTGGAAAATAAGAGAGAAAGAGAAAGAAACAAAAAAAGCAAAAAGATGGGGAGGGAGGGATGGAGGGAGGGGGAAGGAACGACAGAAGAGAGAGAGAGAGAGAGGAAAGAAGGGAGAAAAAGAGAAAGGAAGTGGAAATAAAGCAGATAGATGGGAGGGGAGGGGGGAGAGGTGGAAAGAAAGCACTTTAAATGCATCCGCCAAGCCCCCCATGTCCCCACGCCAGCTGGCATGGCTTGGAGAAGGGATTTGAGACAAATGCCTTCTTCAAGTCGGCTGGTGTGTGGGGGGGGCTTTGAGAATGCATTTGAAGTTAAAGCTGCTTTCTTTCTCTGCTCCCTACCCCCAAGCCTACCCATGGAGGGTAACACTGGCTGGGGAAGGGACGACCAATTGGGGAGGTTTCACTTCCCCAGCCACCCTGCTAGGAGCCACACAGTATGTGTGAAAGAACTGCATGCGGCTCCCGAGCTGCAGTTTGGCCACCCCTGCCTTGGAAGTATGGAACCGGGCATTGTTGCTATTTTAGTTATGTTATTTATTTATATCATTTCTACTCTACCTTTTCTCCCAGTGATGACCCAAAGCTGCTTATGTAGTTCTCTTCTCCTTCATTTGGCTCTCTCAACAACCCTATAATGGCCCCGGGCACACGGGCCGGCTGAAACGCGGCTACTCAGAGCCGCTCCAAACTTGAGACGCCGCGGCGGGATCCCACGGATCCCCTAGCCGCGGCGCAGTACTCCCCGGCACGCTCAGATGCCGGGGAGGAAAAGTCCGAGGGGAGGGGGGAGGCTGCCGAACTGCGCATGCTCAGGCATGTGCAGTACGGCTGGGGGCCGGGATGCGGCGGCGCAAGGACGCGCCGCCGATCCCACAGCCCTGCCTGTGCCACACCAATGGATGCAACCACCTAGAGAGGTGGTTGTTTTTTGCGGCGCAGTTTGGGCCGTTGGGACGGATCAGGGACGGAGACGGCACGCTCGCCAGATGTTGAGGTGAGATCGCGCCTGTTTGCTCCGCCCCAGTTCCGTCCCGCTCCCGGCCCAAATGGGCTCGTATGAACAGGGCCAATGTCGGTCAGACTGAGAGTGTGTGACTGGCCCAAGGTCATCTAGTGATTGGAGATTTGAATCTGAATCTCCCAGTTCTTAATTCAATACTCTAACCACTGTGCCACACTGTTTTTGTGTGATACAGACATATATCACACAAACCCCAGTGTGGTGCGGTGGTTAGAGTGTTGGACTAATATCTGGGAATTAAGATTACCATCTACTGGTATAGTCAACTGGCATAAAAAAACAGCAACCATTACTGCAGATTCTATAATTGTTGGGGAACCAGGATTCCCCTACTATTCCAGTCCCAATTCTTCCATATAAATGAATGGCTTCAATAGCCTATTCATACAGTACTCTTACACTGAAATGCTAGTATATATGGAATTTGTGAATCTCAAATCTACTTCTTTGCCTTCATGATCACCCTTAATACCCCTAGGCATACATTTTTGACCAGAATCCAATGGGTCTTGTACTCTCTGAGTTTCTTAAATTCCTTATCCTTTGCACCCAATTAAAAGTGATTCTTTTAAAAATAATTTTTATTGCTTTTATACACTACACAATTACAGGGAAGGGGAATGGATCACTAAGACTAAAAGAGAAGCTAAACTAAGGCAAGGATCATATTTCAAAAGTTACAGTCTTGTCTATCATTCTTACAAAACCTTATAGTAAAACATAAGCTCTGTGATCAATGTCTTAATCCCTTAATAAAGCTGACTTGAGCCATTAACGCTAATGTACAGGTACTTTATAGTCCATTATGTTTTGTTGTTCTTGTTTATTTTTCACATTTACTTTTCTTGTATTTCAGTTGAACTTTAAGTAATTTAGGGGCAGCCTTTCCTTTTTCCGAGTCCTCAAATGGAATATCTTTTAAGATTCTCGCTTCTTGATCTTTAATCAAGAGAGCCAGTTTGGTGTAGTGGTTAAATGTGCGGACTCTAATCTGGGAGAACCGAGTTTGATTCCCCACTCCTCCACTTGCACCTGCTGATGTGACCTTGGGTCAGCCACAAGCTCTGGCACAGCTGTCCTTGAAAAAGAGCAGTTTGTGTCAGAGTTCTCTCAGCCCCACCCACCTCACAGGGTGTCTGTTGTGGGGAGGGGAAGGGAAAGGAGTTTGTAAGCCGCTCTGAGACTCCAAGTGAAGGGCGGGGTATAAATCCAATCTCTTCTTCTTCTTAACTTTCAGGGTTTTCCCAGATGTTGCTTTCTTGATGATCAGAGGGTTTTACCTGGAGTAGCATTTGATGTGGTATGGGGAGCTGCATCCAAAAAGGAAAACTGTTGGCCTCCACACATACACATGAAGGTTCTTTGTGAAAAAGAGGTGCAGGAGCTTATTAGCATAATTCATTAGCATAACTTATTTGCATATACCACACCCCCTGACATCACCGGAAGTGTGTCAGAAGGCAACACCCACCGCTCAGGCTCCACCCCAAAAATCTCCAGGTATTTCCCAACTCAGATTCAAACCTGGGTCTCCCAAATCCTTGTCTGGAACACTAACCACTACACAACACTTCATGGGGCAGCAGCTATTGAGTAGTAGCAAGCAGCTGGGCGGTTGCATGAGTTATGCAAGTTGCATGGTGTCAAGTTGTCCAGTGGCTGCTGTCAGGCCTGACATGCTCTCTCCCTCTACATTTTATTGACAGAAACAAATGCTTGAAGGCTGGAAATACTGCTGTGGTTGACAAACAATGGCCACTGAGAGAATTCCTTTCATATAGCTACAGGTGCTGCTTCTATTATGGGTGAGGGTTGACTCAATGTATTTTCAGCTGCCATTGATGATGGACAGCAGTCAGCTAGGTACTTCCCTACTGGTC